AAATGTAGAGAGTGTAATCATGACTAACAGGGACTTGATTAATGTACAAAGAATGAAGATTCTATAGCCATCTGTGTGTGAGGTCATATAAAGTCGTGTGAAAAATGTTGTGTGACATTAACCAAAATCTCATGCGGCATCAGCGAGGAACCTCATCCTGCAAGAATTCAAAGCTTAACTACTGCATCCAAAGCACTCAAGAAAACTTTCCATGTTGTTAGTGTCATCCATTTGTGCAAATTGCTTGGTCATTGCACTTTTGAGTGTGCAGAGTGGTTGTCTCAAAGCAGATATAAATATACACTTTTTTATTATTTACAGCAGATTTGAGTATCTTTCAGTATTTAGTTGCCATCATGTTATTTCAATCTAAAATTCCAACATAAAGGTAGGCAGCATTCAGCCACCGTGCTTGTGATGTATATTTATGATTTGGTTAGAACATCTCCCAAAGAAATTCAACTTCTATATATGCAACAGTCTGTCTCCAAAAACTGCTTATAGAGATATAGGACTGTGGGGATAAGGATGTTTGTAAACTTGTATGTGAAGTGCTATTATAGAAAGAGGCCATTTCCCCACCTTCCACCAACTCCCCACCCCACCTCCTCCCCCCCAACAACCATTGTACCCATGCTGTTTCAATGAGTGGAGAAACCTGACTCGTCTAAGACACTGGCTTTGTTGCCCATCATTTTATTCCTCTTTAAGTACTTATCTAATTTGCCTTTGAAGGCCATGATTTAATCTGCTCTCCACCACACTCGAGCAGTGAACTCTGGATCCTAACAACCTGTTGCATAAAAATATTTACTCTTCATCTTTCTACTGCTTTTCACTTTATTTCAATGTGCTGTTGTTATCAGCCCATTCATCAATGGAATAATTTACCCCTATCTACTGTCTTGACCGCTCATAATCAGAACAATCGGAATAGAGGTGGCCAGGTTGAGGGTAGTTGTGAATATGTGGCTGCATTATTATGAAGAGGTGAGAAATTACAGGGAGGCAGTCAAATTGAGATTTTTAAATAAACTGAGTTAAAATAGAGATTAAAACGTACAAAATGACATGTTACTGAAGGTTGCAACTGTGCAAGGCATTAATGAGATCGTACCTGGAGTATTGCATACAATTCTGGTCCCCTTACTTGAGGAGGAATTTAGCTCTTTTGGAGGCAGTTGAGAGAAAGCCCACTACATTGACTGCAGAGATGAGGGTTTAATGAAGAGAGATTCAGCAGTTTAGGCGTATACTCTCTCTGGAATTTAGAAGAATGAGAGGACATCTAAATGAGATACTTAAGATGCTAAAAGGGATTGACAAAATGGACAGGGAGGATGTTTCCTCATGGGGCAATCCAGAATGAGGTCGTAGTTTTAGGATAAGGGGTAGCCGATTCAAAACGGAGATAAAGAGAAACTACTTCTCTCAAAGGTTTGTGAATCTGTGGAATTTACTACTCCAGAGTACGGAGGTTGTTGGAACACTGAGTAAATTTAAGGAGGGGTTACACAGATTTTTAATTAGAAATGCGTTGAAAGGTTATGGAGAGCAGACAGGAAAGTGAGGCTGAGACCAAGATGAGATCAGCTATGACCATATCAAATGGTGGAACAGGCTCAAGGGACCGAATTGCGTACTCCTACTTCTTATCCTCCATCCTTTCATAAGAACTTATCTCAAGTAGAAGATAGGGATGAGCTCTTGAGAGGATAGTGGAGAATGAGAATTTTGAGAAGAGAAGGAGTGCACCTGTCAATGTTCCTTCCATCTCATTATTTTGAAGTGTGTGGTAACTACCACAGGTAACTATTATTTTCTTCACCCTACAATGATTTGTGCCAGAGTGACCAATGTTCAACCTTTCTTTCTAACTGCATTTTTCTTCTGAACTTTCTCTCCTATATAAACTGTTTTTCATTTATTTTATTATCTTTTATTTGTTTTGCAAAGTTTTTTTTGCCATTTTTCCCTTATCACTCCCAAATTTATTGGGTAAGAATATTCTACAGAAAGCTGATGTTGTTTGTACACAGTGCCATTGAGTGGCAGGAATAAACTCCTATAGACATGTCAGAGTTATTAGAATTTATATTGCCACAAGTTTTGCACAATAATACTTAGTCGTGTAATACTGATTATTTTCTAAAGATAATAAAGAAACGTTAATTAAGTATGAAGGACTGACTGTCATCTGGTTCATTTTTTGTGCTTAATTTGTCCAACTGCTATTGTCCACATGCATCTAGATGGCTTAACTGTTTGTAATACATCTGTTTTGGGACAGAAAATAATACACAATGTTCTTCGAGTCAGAGTCATAGAGATGTACAGCATGGAAACAGACCATTCGGTCCAATTCACCCATGCCGACCAGATATCCTAAATAAATCTAGTCCCATTTGGCCTGTATCCCTCTAAACCTGTCCTATTCATATATCCATCCAGATGCCTTTTAAATGTTGTAATTGTACCAGCCTCCACCATTTCCTCTGGCAGTTCATTCCATTCACGCACCACCATCTGTGTGTAAAAGTTGCCCCTTAGGCCCCTTTTAAATCTTTCTCCTGTCATCTTAAACCTATGCCCTCTAGTTTTGGATTCCCCCTTCCTGGGAAAAAGACCTTGTCTATTTACCCTATCCATGCCCCTCATGATGTTATAAACCACTATAAGGTTACCCCTCAGCCTTCAATGCTCCAGGGAAAATAGCCCCAGCCTATTCATCCTTTCCCTACAACTCAAACCTCCAGTCCCGCCAACATCCTTGTGAATTTCTGAACCCTTTCAAGTTTCACAGCATCCTTCCTATAGCAGAGAGACCAGAAATGTACACAGTATTCCAAAAATGGCCAGACCAATGTCCTGTACAGCTGCAACATGACATCCCAAATCCTATACTCAATGCACTGACTGATGAAGGCAAGCATGCCAAATGCCTTGTTCACCACCCTGTCTACCTGCAACTCCACTTTCAAGGAGCTATGCATCTGTACCCTAGGTGTATTTGTTTGGCAACACTCCCTGGGGCCTTGCCATGAAGTGAAGAAGTCCTGCCCTAATTTGCCTTTCCAAAATGCAACACCTTACATTTATCTAAATTAAACTCCATCTGTCACTCCTCGGCCCATTGGCCCAACTGATTAAGATCCTGTTGTACTCCGAGAGGCCTCTTCGCTGTCCACTACACCTCCAATTTTGGTGTCATTTGCAAACTTACTAACCATACCTCCTATGCTCACACCCAAGGCATTTATATAAATGACATAAAGCATTGGACTCTGCACCGATCCTTGTGTCACATCGCTGCTCACAGGCCTCCAGTCTGAAATGCAACCCTCCACCATCACCACCCTCTGTCTTCTACCTTTAAGCCAGTTCTGTATCCAAATGGCTAGTTCTCCTTGTATTTCATGTGATCTAACTTTGCTAACAGGTCTGCCATGAGGAACATTTATGAAATTATTATGCTTGTGACTGAAATATACTATGACTGGGGGATGTTCAGCTTCCTGCAGACATTTTTGTTCTGGAATTTAAAGAAATTCAGAAAGAAATCAATCATGAAATTCACTGAATTTATGGGAGCAGGCTTCAGGAATTCTTTCTACTTAAAAGTTTCCAACTTGGGTGATAAGCCTTTGAAGTTAGATAATATGGCAGACCACTGCTTTATTGAGGGACCTAGCTATGAAGACTGTGATATTCCATCTATATTACTCCAATTGATGAGTTTGCATTCCCCTATTGCAGCTAGAAATGAATTGTATTCATATTTCAGGGCCTACTGGGGCCAGAGGAACACAAATTATTGAACATCAGGGAAGGTACCATGGCTGCTGGTAGAATTTAACTTTAAGTTGTTAAATCTGAAATATAAGGTAGTGGTGACCATTATAATCATCATTATTGTAAATATCCATCTGGTTTGCGAATGTCCTTAATGTAAGGAAATAGGTAGGAAAGCAAATTGTTAGGAGGACGTGAAAAATCTTTTCTGTCTTGTGGAACGTGGGCATAGCTGACTGGCCAGAACTTGTTGCCTGTCCCTAGTTGCACTTGAGGATGGTGGTGAGCTGCCTTCTTGAACTGTTACAATCCATGTACTTTAGGTAAATCCAAAGTACAGTTAGGGAGGAAATTCCAGGGCCTTGACCTAGTGACAGTGAAGGAACGGCAATATATTTCCAAGTCAGGGTGTTGATGGCTTGGAGGGGTATTTGTCGGTAATGTGGTGTTCCCATGTATCTGCTACCCTTGTTCTTCTAGATGGACGTGGTTGTGGGTTTAGAATGTGCTGTCTAAGGACGTTCGGTAAATTGCTGCAGTGCATTTTTCATGTAGTACACACTGCTGCTGTTGAAGGTTAGTGTTGAAGGTTAGGGATGTGCTGCTTTGTCCTGGATGGTGTCAAGCGTCTTGAGTACTGTTGGAGCTGCACTCACACAGGCAAGTGGAGAGTATTCCATCATGATCCTGACTTGTGCCTAGTAGGTGCTGGCAGGAGGTGAGTTACTCACTGTAGTATTCCTAGCTTCTGACTTGTTCTTGTAGCCACTGTATTGATATGGTGAGTCCAATCGTGTTTCTGGAATCAAATGATATAGATGAGCTATCAGCAGCAGATGAGCAGAGATTATCAATATTAAACAGGAGAAGAGTTTTAATTCTCTAAGAAAACAGAATGGTTCGATATTGTCCAAATTAATTGGTAAAACGGTTCATGTAAGTATTATTATCCTGGATATAGCTATCAGTGAATTTTGATATAACCACCCAAGCTTGAAATGACAAAGTTTTTTTGTGCAAATACGTAGTGTAGAGTAAGTGATCCCATATGTCTGCCAAGCTGGATCCTTTAAACATAACCTCCCTACAAGACTATTCAGAGATTAGATTTGAATTCTAATCCCAAAATCTTACTTCTGAATGCATGAATAATCGTACATGTCAAAATGCTAGCCTATTTCAACTTTACAGCTTTTTCTCTTGCTCAGATAACCGATCTCCACCTCGAACATGTGGCTTAAATCATTCAGATTCTTTGAATCGAGGTGATCGTATTGATGCGATAGCATCGCAGATGGGGAGCAACAACAGTCAGCTAAACTCCTTGCTTCAGATGTATGTTCCAGACTATTCTGTGCGGGCTCTGACTGACTTACAATTTGTAAAGGTAAGACTAAGTCTGATTATTGCTTTGAAATCCTGTTTCACAGAATATGCACAGTAACTGAAAATAGGTTAAAAATTTGACCTCATAGATCCAATTCTGTTTTTGTAGTAAATGTACTTTCCCAAAATAATTAGATTCAGTTAAAATCACCGGTTCAGTCTACCTTGGATATTAAAGTTGGTGCTTACTAATTTGAGTTTTGAAATTTAATTGGTTTGTTTAAGTCATACTCAAGTCTGTGAATTTTTATATCTTTAGAATTGGAATCAATTTTTAGATATCAAAGCTGTTACTTGCCTTCTGAAGTGTTATTTTTATTGCAGTCTTAAAATAGCTGCCCTATTAATTAGTACACAGAAGAAATAGCCCAGAATCTGATGCTTTAAAATTGCTAGCAATTAAAATGCAACTTGTAAACTTGTTAAAACATAATTGGATTCACGTAGATGAATGTAACTTAAGCATGAATAGTGGTGCGTGACTTCTACCTTTTATTGATGCTGATTGAACAGATTATTTAAAAAGGATCTTGCAACCAGCTTTAAATGTAAGGTAGTTTGTATCGCTCATTAGTTTTGGACTTTTCAAGATAACTTTTTCATGCCCAACATAGATACTAGCTCTCAATTTCAAACCTGTGATTTCCAGAGGGGATCTGAGATAGCCTTGGCAGATAAAATGAAGATAACCCAGAGATTCTACAAGTACATTAAAAGCAAAAGAGCAACTAAAGCGAGAATAGGACCCCTTAAATATCAATGAGGTGGACTGTGTGTTGAACCTCAAGAGATGGGAAAGATACTAAATGAATATTTCTCATCAGTTTTTACTGTGGAGAAAGAAGTGGAGGCTAGGGAACTCGGGGAAATAAATGTTGATATTTTGAAAACAGTTCACATTACAGAAAAGGAAGTGTTGGGGTTCTTAGGAAACATAAAGGTGGATAAATCTCAGGGACCTGATCAAGTGTATCGCAGGACATTGGGGGAAGCTAGAGAAGAATTGGGGGCCCCTAGCAGAAATATTTGTATGATCTATAACCACTGGGTGAGGTTCCGGAGGACTGGAAGGTGGCTAATGTTGTGCCTTTATTGAAGAAAGGGTGTAAGGAGAAGCCTGGGAATAATGGACCTGTGATCCTGACATCGGTGGTGGGTAAGTTGTTGAAAGAGGATTTTCATGCATCTGGAGAGACAAGGACCAATTAGGGATAGACAGCATGGTTTTGAGCAAGGGATGTTGTATCTCACAAAATTAATTGACTTTTTTTGAGGAAATAATCAAAAAGATTGATGCGGTTAGAGTGGTAGACATTGTTTACATGGACTTTAGTAAAGCCTTTGACAAGATTCCTCATGGTAGACTAATTAGTAAAGTTAGATCGCGTGGGATTCAGGGTGAGCATCCTGATTGGATACAAAATTGGCTTGACGGTAGGAGACAGAAGATCTTGTTGGTGAAAGGTTGTTTTTCAGACTGGAGGCCTGTGACCAGCAATGTTCCGCAGGGATAGGTACTGGGTCCACTTGTCGTTTATATAAAGACTTCACCTGACGAAGGAGCAGCACTCCAAAAGCTTGTGATTTCGAATAAACCTGTTGGACTATAACCTGGTGTCGTGTGACTTCTGACTTTGACTATCCCAGTCCAACACTAGCACCTCCACATCATGCATCACAGATAGACAGGGTGGTTCAGAAGGTGTTTAGCGCACTTGCATTCATTGCTCAGACCTTTGAGTATAGGAGTTAGGATGTCATATTGAGGTTGTACAGGTTGTTGGTGAGGCCTCTTCTGGAGTACTGTGTGCAATTCTGGTTGCCCTGCTATAAGGTAAGATATTATGAAATTGGAGAGGGTTCAGAAAAGATTTACCAGGACTTGCTGGAAATAGAGGATTTGAGTTCTAAGGAGAGGTTGGATAGACTGGAACATTTTTCACTGGAGCGTATGAGGTTGAGGGGTGACCTTTATAGAGGTTTATAAAATTTGAGGGGTATAGATAAGGTGAATAACAAGGGTCTTTTGCCAAGGGTAGGGAGTCCAAAACTAGAGGGCATAGGTTTAGGTGAGAGGGAAAGAATTAAGAGGAACCTAAGGGGCAACTTTTTCACGCAGAGGCTGGTGCGTGTCTGGAATGAGCTGCCAGAGGAAGTGGTGGAGGCTGGTACAATTACAACATTTAAAAGGCATCTGAATGGGTACATGAATATGAAGGGTTTAGAGAGAGATGGGCCAAATACCGGCAAACAGGACTAGGTCAGTTTCAGATATCTGGTCAGCACAGACGAATTGGACCGTGCTGTGTGATTCCATGACTCTAACTTCCCAAGTTGGACAGCTATTGCAGATTGTAATAGAAAATGGTGATTTTTTTTTTACAAGGAAGGTCATCATTGTATGAATGATTTTTGGATGGCATTTTAAGATTTTATCCTGCAGCTGCACTTATTTGAATTTTTTATGATATTTTTATGATTTTTTTTATTATGTGAACAAAACAGTCGGATTACTTCATGGAAAGATATATGTTCGCACCAAACCTGAATCAAACCATTCAAAGATAGCAAGAACTGCAGATGCTGGAGTCAGAGACAATACACAATGTGGAGCTGGAGGACCACAACAGGCCAGACAGCATCAGAGGAGCAGGAAAGCTGACTTTTTGTGCCGAAACTTTCCTGCTTCTGTGATGCTGCCTGGCCTGCTGTGTTCCTCCAGCTCCACACGGTATTGTCTCTGAATCAAACCATGACAGACTTATTCACAGATAATGATTTACCAAACAATAACAAAGTTGTTGATGCCAGTCCAATAGCACAGCAGCTTTGGAATAGTTCATGGAAGGGTTTAACAAAAGCAGTTGACTTCCTTTGACAATATTCACTTGGTGGTAGCTGTGGTAGCTTCCAGGTCTCTGAACCAGAAGCTTCAGGCTCAAGCTTGACTTGAGCAAAGTATAAAACTGAGTGAAAAGTGTCGAATCATCGACGTGACTATCGAAAAATAATGTGCAAAACTTCTTGAAAATAATGGTTGAGATGCTGCCTTATCTATGCTGTTTACAATCTTTCTCTAAGTTGGATGCTCTTTTCTAACTATAAATTTCTGTTTGTTCCATACCTATTGTGATTAGACAATTAACTGCCAAGTTAAATGTTACCACATTTTATATTTGCAAAGTTACCTGAGAATTCAGTCTGCATAAGTAGCTATTTTACTCTCTCAATTAAGTGCTCTTTATGATAAAGCTATTATGATTAACAGTTTGATGATGCATATTAATTGTTTTGAGCAGTTTGATGTGCTTCATTCCTGCTTATCCAGGCACATGAACCCCCATTAAAGACTCATTTGGCCAAACGACATCCTTCTGTGCTGTACTTTTCCAATTAGTTGCTCTCTCATTAGACAGAGACGACTGGTGGTGGTTTAACCTGAGGGTCACCACATGTCGGGAGGAGAAAGCTTGAAAAAGAGAGTCCTTCAAGGTACCCTCAGCCGGTGCAGAAATTGAACCCACACTGTTGTCATTACTCTGCACTGCAAACCAGCCAGCTGGTGAACCTGGAATCTGATGAGAGTAGAGAAGGGCCCTGAGGATGCAGGCTTAGCAAACTTGCAGTTTGATGTTCTCAGCTTGGTCCCAATAACTCTTGCATTTTCGCTGCCCGTGTTGATTTCAGCACCATGTCAAATTACTGGTGATGCTAGAACTTAGAAATATGAAGCTATGAACAATCTACCGTGTCAAAAGTTCAGTGTCCTGGGCCATGAGGTTTGTCTCCTTGAAGTTGATAGTCAAACTAAACTTTACAGGCATGAGAGAATCTGTCCATTAGCAGCTGAAAATTTTCCTCAGAATGGAATGCTTAGGTCAGGCATCATTGGTATAGAGAAAATTTCATATTAGGACTTGGTGCACTTCTGCCTGTGACTTCAGGTGGACAAGACTGAATAGCTTTCTGTTAGTTCCAGTACGTAACTGGCCACCATCAGTAAATGAACTGAAGGTTTATGATCGTAGCAAAGAGTATACCAAAAGGTTTCAGAACCATAAAACAACCCTGTTTGACCCTACTACTTATGACCTCACCCATCATGTTATCATGGTCACACCCTATATCTTTGGAGGGCAGTCTAATTTTCTTCAGTTTAAATGGACTACCTCTGCTCATGTGTTGAAAAGTCTTGGTGTAATCAAAGAATACAATATTTATCAGCCTCCTTTGTTCATAGAGTTACTCTTGAAAGTGCCAGACTGGGAAGATCAGGTCATTTGTGGATCTTCTGGCTCTGGCACCGCCTATGACAGAGGTGGAAAATGCACAAGCTGAGAAATATCAGTTTCTTGCTCTTGAAGATTTCAAGAATTAGCATCAGCACCTGGAGTTTTGCCAATGGCAAGTGAATCAATAGTTTTGCTAAGTTTCTCCACCTATGGGTTCGATATCCATCTGTTTCATGGTAGACAGGCTCTCTGATTCTTCCTTGCTGACAACATATTCCACCCATCAGCAACTGTTTATTATAGTTGGTGATCATTGAAATAACTCCACAGAGGCCGGTATCCCATCACCAAGTCACCCTTTATTTGCATATGGAAAGTCCTTAACACTGATCTATCTCCCTCGTGTCAGGATGTCTGACACTTCTGTTTTTATCTGTCAGCCAGAGCTCCGTGATTGGGGCTGTAGATCTGGTCCAATCAGGTAACTCATTCCATGAGGTCCATCTGGCTGACTTCATTACAATCACTGCAGTGATCTCCCCTGTTTTTGTTTACAGTTGTTTTCTTTGAGGATGGGCCTGCAGCTTTTTTGAATTGTCATGTATGTCATTAGAATTCCCTGTTTCAGAGGATATCTGGATATTTTGACAAAATTGTGAACAGAAGTCATTGACACCGTGTCTAGCAGTCTGATAGACCTTGCTTTGAGTCATTTTGGTTTTCCTTCCTACGTTTCTCTTGTAATTAATGAGTAGATTGCTGACCTCAATGAATGTTGCATTACAGCATTATTAACCCCAATCAGTCACTTTTTTTCCCTTTTACACACCCCATATGTTCACAATATAGCACTGTAAGTGATGTCTTAAAGAATATTCCGTCATTGCGCGCTGTAAAGTAGACCATAAAGGACAAGAAAAATACAAATCACTTCATGTGAGCACACTAAATGTATCACATTAGGCTGCTGGGCATTTGAAACCAGAGATGATGTTTTGTAATGTACTTCACTTAGAGATGTGATGGTACTTGAGCCCAGGACTTCTGGCTGAGAAGTAGGGTTACTACCACTGCACCAGAAGAGAGTTCCATTTAAATAGCATATTCCACTTGAATTCTTCAGACCCAATTAAAGTTCACATTTACCCATGTTACACATCATCAACTGTCACAATTTCTGCTCACCCACTAAACCTATCTATATCCCTTTGCAGACTCTCTACCTCTTGACATCATACTTGCTTCTCTATCTTGGTGTCACTGGCAAATCTGGCTACCGAATATTCGGTTTCTACATCCCAAGTCTTTGGTATAGATTGTTAATAGTTGAAGCCCCAGCACTGATCCATATGGTACACCATTCCTAAGAACTGTCTACATCACTGGAACCTATCTGGATCAGGACAACAGGATCATTCTTCTCTCGCTCCAAGTTCATCTGGAGCCCTGAAAAGATGTCCCCGACACTGGGACCTGGCAATTTATTCTGAATGCCTTTGTATCTATAGTAATTAGTTGGACAAGATTGAAATTGTGAACAAATTAGCTAGAGAAGGGGTTGTTTTCTAAAGAGGAATTGGAGCAGACGTAAATCAAAAGTGATTGTAAAATGACTGAAGCAACAGATTAGTATCTGAAAAAATGAAAAGGCAAAAAACACGATGAAGGACCACAACGTATACTCCAAGTGGATGCCATAGGGATTAGGAAACAGAAACTGAGAATTCAATATAGAAGAGTAAGTCCAAGCTAACACAGGTATCACTGAAAAAGCATCTTGTGGCTCGGGTACTGTTTGTATTTCACTGATCACTCATTCATTTTAATCACCTTGGAGATAATACTTGCAACTGAAAAAGTTACTGATGTCTAAAGCTGATGGTACGAACAATCAAGAAAAAATAATCAGAATATTGTGTTAAGTTTGCATTGCTGTACTCCACATGTGTGAAACCAGTGTTCAGAACAAGAATATCTCATCATTTTTATCTTCATTCTTGAACCATTCAGATTGTTTTATTATTTTATAATTGATATTTGGCATCTTTAATTGGAATTAATTAGCATGCCACTAAATCTGAAGTATCTTGCAAAAATAGTACTTTTGAGGTATATGTTTCCTTACAACTTTCTTTTGTTGCTGTCCTGTGGTCAATGAACCTTGTTTACTTCATTTTATTCATGCATTATAAACAGCTGGGCCATACCACCATTCCATCTATTTTTCTGTTTAGAATAAGAAAAGTCATGAGTGTGATTTTGGAGCAGCAGGTTCAGAGAGGAAGTTTCAAAAAACAATGGAAAACAAAGGGTTGAATACCTGCAAAAATAATGCTGCAACTGTTTGCTGTCTTTCCTAACCTAATCTATTCAGAATTATGGCATACACACTTCAGTTTATCTCAGAGCAAGATAAGCATTTGTTGGGAGATTTGATTTCTTAATAATTGTAATTATTGAGTACCATTGCAATGTCATTTTTTTTCAAAAATGCTGTTCTGATATTTTAGAAAAATGACTGGTTTGTTGATATCTTGTTTTAATTCTTTAGTAATTTTCGTTAAATTATTGCTAAAACAACTTTTAAATTCAAATCTCACATCTTGAAACTAAATTATAGTTTTATAGTTAAAACTTGTAGTTGTCAAGATAGATATTTAAAGTAAAAACTGAAAGAACTGCAGACACTGTAGATCAGAAACAAAAACAGAAATTGCTGGACAAGCTGAGCAGGTCTGGCAGCATCTGTGGAGAGAAATCAGAGTTAATGTTTCAGATCGAATGACCCTTCCTCCGTTCTGAGCTTAGCATAATGAACCAGAATATGAGTTGCTTGTTTTTAAACTTTTTTCATAAGCGTGAATATTTTAAAAAAGATATTTCACAATACCTCTGCAAGGAATAAGTGTAGGAAGTCTTTAGCTGCATTATAATGGCCCATTGCATTTCATAAATGTGCATTTGATTTTTTTCCCAATTTGCTACATAAATTAATTTGTTATTTCCTGTTCTTTTCATAATGTTTTATAATTTCATGTTGAAATTGGTTAAATATTTTTATAAAATTAATGTAAATAACACACTAGATACCTAATTTTCCTCCAACTTATGAAAGCATTTTAATTTTAAATGAAGTGAATAATGCCTGTTCATCTCTTGAGCATTTTGTTTTAAGTTGAGCCTTGAAAGGTTGGAAAAAGTGTTAACTGAGTACAATATCCCAAGGGGCAAGAATTTTTTTCTTTTCCATTTTAAGTGAAAACTGGTTGTGTATTTAATTGGCATGTTCTCATTCTGCAGATTACAAGACAACATTATCAGAATGCCCTGATGGCATCCATAATGGACAAAACACCACAGTCATCAGATAGTGAAAATACTAAGATTGAATTGACTTTAAATGAGCTGCATGATCACTTACCTGATGAAACAGCAAACCTCCTAAATGAACAGAACTGTGTATCACATAAATCAAATCATAGCATGCACAATGAAGGCACGATATAGATTACCTACAGGATTATGTCCTCAGTAATGTTTCAGAGAGCTAATCCTGTATTCTGTATGCATGCACACATGCAAGCACATATGTCCACTGTCATGAGACCAAAGAGATGTGCCTCGGCAAAAGAAGGTGAAGGAAGACGATCAGAGGTGGGTGAACTGAACATTAACCAACTGCCAAGATTCAGACAGATCCTCTGTACACAGATGTCTTGTTATCCTTTATTTTTGTGGGATATTTTTTGTTTTTCTTACACAAAAGGCAAATGGTAAATTGTTGGAAAAAAGTACAAACATAAAGCTGCTTAAGGCTGAGAAAAGAAGTGTATTTTTCTAATGAAGACCTACCGAGATTAACTGAGAGACTGTAAAACATTTTTTAAAAATTATGGTATGTGATTTAAGATGGTCATTGAGGGTGAATTTTCTAAATTTTGAACATCCTTCCATTTCTCCAGCTTAATTTAGTACATGTTTGACATTTTACAAATTCCTTCGACATTATATGGGACATAGCTGCATATTTTAATCCCAAAAGAGTTGGGGTTGCTGGGCATTTAAATTGTAACTTGAATATGGAAACTCAATTCAACATTTGCACAACACATCATTGACGTATTTGATTTCAACACTTGTATGCAAACTGTGAATAAGTCCTATATAGGGACTATAGAACTTCTTTGGAAGGAATAGTTACACTTACATAGCAGTTAAATATGCCAAATCTATAAATGGTAGAATGTTTAAAAAAGGGTTTTTCCACATGTGAGAAACACAGCTAAAATTGTGCAAGTGTTCTTATGGCAGAACTGACTATCACTATGTATTGTTTAATCAACCAACATTGCAAGCAAATTGCAATTTGTATTATATTGTACAAAACTGACTCTGAAGTGAAGTATTCTGACTACAGTATTCATAACTGTGTATATATGAAGCACAAAAAAATCTATTGATGAAGTGTAAGTTTCATAAGATTGTCAGTTAAATGACATTTATAATTAACAATGGTAAAGACTTTGTAGATTTGCAGACTATTTATTTTGTATATGATTTATTTGTATATTTTGTGATTTAATTGAGTGTTTTGTTTATTATTCTATCATTCCATTTTGGTTAAAATGGTTTTATTCTAAATGGCATTTCATTCCAATTTTACCATTGTAATATTTCTCAACTTGGTAAGAATTTTGGTTATATTCTTGGTAATTGAGTGCTCTTCACTCTTCCTTTTTGACCTTTTAGCAGTTATAAATTGGTAAAATCATTAATGGGGATAATTATGGAAATGTTAAAAGACTAACTTGTGGCCTGGAGTTGGTTAATGGAACTTTTCATTTTATACTTCAAAAGTGAATAACTTTAATAAAGAAATTATTCATAATTAAATGGACACTGATTTATTATCAGGACATTAAGTTTGAAAATTAAGTTTTGCAACTAGACTAGAAATTAAATGGGAATATTGACTGTCCATTAGTCCGACAATAGTAGACCTCTTCAAAGATTTGTCGTATTTATTTACCTTAAAGTAGTGCTTTGGAAAGGGATTTAACCAGATCAATAATGTTGTGCCAGGTATCAGGAATTTAACTAAGTACCAATGTTTTCATTTATACTGTACAGTGGGAAATTGCAATATTGTCTGAAATAAACTTTTCTGCATTTTGTATGGAACAGGTATTTTATCTGTTTACAGCCAATGCAAGGAATGTTGGTTTAGAACAACACAGTTTTCCCTTTTCACCCCATGTCAGGAAAGCACAGATTAATTACCGTACCTTTTAGAAGAATATCCTTCATATTATACCAGCATGGCATCTACTTCCTACTTTGGCCCCTCTGTACGCATCTGAGAGTATTGATGTTAATTATTGGCCCTTTTGGTGTCCACTGCTGCTCACGAGGGGCATGAATTGCCCAACTCATTTCACATGGGACCGTTGCAGATACTGAAGTAAGGGAGATTCATCTCATCATTCTGTACTGGACTCAAATTCCAGGCCCTCGGAGATGGAGTAATCCCTAACTTGAGCAATATTTAATTATAACTTTGTTATATGCCAGTATAATGCACATGAACAATATTTTATTTATGTATTATATGCTAGTACAATGCCCATGAGTAATATTTAATTATAACTGTATTATATGCTAGATAAATACATACTAATGTTGATAATTCATAGAAACAATATATGTTATTTAAGTGGCTGGTGTGTTGACCTCTGGGAGGTTTACCAAGGGTTTGACAGATATTATGTATATCAAAAGTACCAATTCTAATAAAAAGTTTATGAAATAAGCTGATACTATTTTTTTAATGAGACTAGCAGACAATCTGCAAAATCTTTCCAGGTGAATAAATCAATAATACTTCATTTTAATATAAAAGTATACCTAACATCTATTGCTGTAAATTCACTGAAGTCATTTTTTTTTCGTTCATGGGATGTCGGCATTACTGGCAAGGCCAGCATTTGTTGATCATCCCTAATTGCTTTTGGGAAAGTGATGCTGAGCCACCTTCTTGAACTACTGAAGTACATGTGGTGGAGGTACAATTTTGGAAGCAGTTCCAGGATTTTGACCCAGGGATGGTAAAGGTCTGTCAATAGATTTCCAATAATGCTTGACTAGATGGAAGGGCAGGCTGTTAAAACTTGTGTTCTTGCACAGTTCTTCAATTCAATTGTGATTTGGCTTAGTGTGATGAGCCTAAAGAAACGTAATTCTTTGACATTATAGTTGGCATGTATGCAAAGCTGCAAATAAAGTCAACTGTTTAATTTCTTTCTGTGGTTTTCAGTGGCTTATGGTCTAGGCTTTGTTTACAGCTTAGTATGAAAATGGTGAATAATTCAATCAAAAACTTGATTCAAATTTAGCAGCAGCCTTTGCAATTGTCATGCTATTTAGTTATATAAGTCTAACCAAGAGTTAATGGACAGAAATAATGTGAAGGGAGAGGGCCAAGTATACATTAAATTACATTTGTTAGTCTTGTTTTGGAGATGAAAGTAATTTCTCTAAATTCCCATCTTTTGTCGGTTTTTGCATTGTTTGCGGTTCTTCCACTTTTGAATTACAAAGCTGTCAGTTCAGCTGCCACTCTGAGATTTAATACTGAAATAGCTGTTATCATTCAGACATTTAAGGATATTGGAAACTTATTGCACTTAATTATGGAAACAAAGTGTCACTGATATTTATACCATGATCAGGGTACTTCAAAGTCATTTTTTGTGGCAAATTTCTCAGACCTTTTTCTGCAGGCAACCTATTGACCAGTTCTGGGAGTCAGGAGAAGGGTGCAGTTTTCGGGGACCAAAAAGATGATTGTGACTTTAAACTGTATTGTTGTAGATGGTTCCCTTGCTTCTATCATCTCTTTAATGTAAAAGAGTAAAGAGGACTATATACCCCTCTCTCTCCTTCCTGGACCTCTCTGTCTCCATCTCCAGCAACCACCTAGAAACCGATATCCATTTCAAGCCCACCGACTCCCACCCACCTTCCTGCAAAAATGCCATCCCCTATTCCCAATTACTTTGCCTCCGCCGCATCTGCTCCCAGGATGAGGCATTCCACTCCCGTACATCTCGGATGTCCTCGTTTTTCAAGGACCGCAACTTCACCCCCCTCAGTGGTCGAGTACGCCCTCAACCGTGTCTCCCGCATTTCCCGCAACTCATCCCTCACACCCCCTCCCCGCAATAACAACCAAAAACAGAATCCCCCTCGTCCTCACGTACCACCCCACCAACCTCCGAAAAAATCCAATGCATCATTCTCGGACACTTCTGTCATCTGCAATCCGACCCTACCACCAAAGACATTTTTCCCTCCCCACCTTTATCTGCTTTCTGGAGGGACCACTCTCTCCGTGACTCCCTTGTCCGCTCCACACTCCCCTCCAGCCCCACCTCACCCGGCACTTTTCCCTGGAACCGCAGGAAGTGCTACACCTGCCCCTACACCTCCCCCCTCACCCCCATCCCAGGCCCCAAGAAGACTTTCCACATCAAGCAGATGTTCACCTGCACATCTGCTAATGTGGTATACTGCATCCGCTGTTCCCGTTGTGGCCTCCTCTACATCGGGGAAACCAAGCGGAGGCTAGGAGACCGCTTTGCAGAACACCTATGCTCGGTTTGCACTAAACAACTGCACCTCCCAGTTGCGAACCATTTCAACTCCCCCTGCCATTCCGCAGATGACATGTCCATCCTGGACCTCCTGCAGTGCCACAACGATGCTACCCGAAGGTTGCAGGAACAGCACCTCATATTCCGCTTGGGAACCCTGCAGCCCAATGGTATCAATGTGGACTTCAAAATCTCCCCTCCCCCGACCACATCCCAAAATCAGCCCAGCTCGTCCCCGCCTCCCTAACCTGTCCTTCCTCCCACCTATCCCCTCCTCCCACCTCAAGCCCCATCCCCATCTCCTACCTACTAACCTCATCCCCTCCCCCTTGACCTGTCCGTCCTCCCTGGACTGACCTATCCCCTCCCTATCTACACTCTACTGGCTCCATCCCCGCCTCTTTGACCGGTCTGTCTCCTCTTCACCTATCTTCTCCTTTATCCATCTTCTATCCGTCTCTCCCTATTTACTTCAGAACCCCCTTCCCCTCCCCCATTTCTGAAGAAGGGTCTAGGCCTGAAACGTCAGCCTTCTTGCTCCTCTGATGCTGCTTGGCCTGCTGTGTTCATCCAGCTCTACACCTTGTTATCTCTATAGTAAAAGTATTGAATAGGATAAAAATAGATTAAAAGAAGGTGCTAAAACACTGGAAAGAATGGACAATGCAGAAGTGACCTGTTTAGCCTAATTGACCAATACTCCAACTCACCTGCTCCCAACCCTCCTCTGACCCTACCCGTATAACTTTTTACTCTCCCATTGATGTTTATCACTCCTCCTTAAGTAGATCTCGTATACTTCAACTTCACCCTGTGGTAACGCATTTCACAATTTAACCACACTGAAGAAATGTGTTTCCCCTGAAATCCCTTCTGTAATTACTAACATTGATATTGCTTAGTGGAAAAGTCACCATTCCAAATAGGATGCCTCCTCTAGTTTGTTGAGAACGACCAATGTTGAAATTATTGAGGCTTTGGTCACAATCTTTGAATTCTCATTAGGTAAGTGTTGTGGTCTCTGTAGAGACCATTAATTTTTAAGAGATTCAAACTTCCTGTTATTATCTGAAAGAATGACAAGTCAAATTCCATGTTTTAAAATGTTGGTAAAATATCTGTCTGAGTCAGTCTTGAAAGTATTTAATGAGCCTGTGGTTCTCTCTGGGGAAGAGAATTCCACAATCTTCTGAGAAAAAATTACTTCTGTTCAACACAGTTTTAACTGGGAGACTTCTAATGCATAAACAGGGTTCCCTAGTTTGAGATAACTCCAAAATGGGGAAACAACCTCCTAGCATCCAAAATATCAAGTCCCCTTCGGTCATCTTTGGATCTTTTATGTTTTAATAAAACCACCAGACTTGGATCACACTTAAATTCAAAATAATAATGTTCCCATCACTAAACCCTAAGATATCACACATTGTAATCCCTATTTTGCTTCTCTCCTTCCCTCACCACCACTAGTTCTGTTGGAAACCTTTAATGACTATTTCCATCATTTCTGTTTTTATCTCAGATTTCCAGCATCTGCAGTACAGAGACAGTGCCCTAGATCCGAGTATCCGAAAACTAGTGATGTCTGAAAATCAGGACATTTTGTTCAGTGAATCGTGTAAGAATTTTAAGCCTTGTTAAAGGAGTTAAGAATCTCACTGGCTTGCCTGAGGGAGTTGGTGCATCAGTGTAGAGGAGTGCTGAGCAGTTGGCTATCACTTTCCACACTCCATGTGGTCAGAGCAACTCTTTACCCCTCCTCGTCCAGCTTGATCCCACTTTTACATACCTTATTTAATTTGCTTTTTTTAACTATTAAATATTCTAAAGGAACTTATTATATTGATCTCATGTATCCTTTATTCGTTGAATTAAGGTTTCCATTTTTTCTTCAGAAACCAGTAAGATCCGAAATCAGTCACTGACTTTATGCTGAAATTGCCAGTTTGAGGCATGCTACCTGTTTTTGGTTTTACTCGCTAATCATCATCCAATATCTCACCCATCCAAAGGATTTACCAAGGTCTGAGTTTGATATATTGCCTTTTATGTGGAACTTGATGAAAAGCTATGTTGTGTATTTTGATTCCCGAGTTATTGGAACTACTGCAATTTACTTGGCTTCTCACATCAGGAAGATTGAGGAGGTTAACCAGGCCCTTGCAGAAATACATGCCGATTGCTATTCGGTAAATAACTGGCAGGATTAGTATTTGGGAAGTCAAGAGTTCAAACCTGATCATGAATTCGGGAAGAATTTGCTAAATTGCTAGCGCCAGGAAAGGTTCAGTCTATTGTTTAAAACAGAAGAAGTGATTCTTCAGGGAAGGAAGTTGCGTTCAGTGTAGGCTGTGACTTCATTGGTAATCACAAGATCCAGACACAAGTCCCACGCCAGAATTGAGCATCATAATCAAGGTTAACACTCCAACACGATACTGAGGAAACACTGCACTATTGGAGATACTGTCTTTTGGTTGAATGTGTTAAGCTGGAGCTGGTCTACCCGCTGGGGTGTTAACCCTGGTATCACAGCCACTGTTGGTCCCTGAATCAACATCACAAAACAATTTATCTGGTCATTATCATCTTGCTATTTGTGGGATCTCATTGTCTATAAATTTCTGATATTACAACAATTTATAAGTACTTCATAGGCTGTAAGCAAAGGTCAAGTGGTATGCAAATTTTCTTGTTCTTTCTCACCAATTCTAGCTTGCATGTAATTCCAATTCATATGGATACCCCATCTTGCTCTCAGATGATTTGAGGAAATGCGATAGATACTGAGTTGCCTGTGTCACCTTCTGCCCAAGGACAAAAAAGTAATTTTCAGGTTCATGACTTGTAACCGACTCCATTAATTTACAACAGATAAATATATTAGGTCTGTGCTTTATCTATTTGTTTTGTCATCCTTTTTGAATATAGGCCCTGTATTACTCCATTCCCAACAAGCAACAATTGTTGCTTTACCAAACTTTAGCGGACACCCATGTAGTCAGTGTTTGCTTGGCTTACATCCTCTTCAGTTATTATACATTTCAACCTAGATGGTGTCCTGTATTGTGTACCACAGCCTTTGCCAGGAT